GGGGGGGGGGTCCAACAAGGGAAGGGGGCGAATCGGCTGGCCATGCAGGCTGGCGCCGGACCTCCCCCCCCTTCCCCACCCCCCCCCCCATCATCCAATGCTTATGCTCATATGCACTTTGTGACGTGTGGATAACACCGCGCACGCTTCGTCCTTTCCTCCCTTGCCCCCCTCCCAAGTATCAAACATGAGTTCTGATCGATGTTATAGGCTGTGCAAATCTTTGAAACCTCCAAAACATCGCGACGCAGCAGAACGACTGGGGGACCGGGAGGGGGGAGCACAGCGACAGGATCAGGTTGGTCCGGCAAACGGCCGCCGTGCCCCTGGTGGTGCCGAGGTCGCGGCATGTGACGCCGAGGGGCAGACCACAGGTGCACACTCCTCGTGAAGGCCGGCTGGCCTGTGAGAGTACCGAGGCGTGTGTGGCGCATTGCCCCTGCTCAGGAGCTCCTCGTCTTGCCCTTTCAAGGGGTTCCAGGCCCAAGGCCAGCCACCTCCTCCTCCTCCAGTCCATTCCCTCAGTTGAGGGTCCAGCCTCAGATGAGGTCCAGCAGGTCCCGATCCGGCTGCAGATCCGTTAGGTCGTAGGCGTTGATGGTGTAGGCCGAGTCCAGCTTGTGCCGCCACAGCTGCATGTGGTTCACCGCCTGGTCGATCTGCGGCGGGTGCAGGGGTGAAGAGGGGGTGGTCAGGCAGGCAGGCGGGTTGGATGACAACCTCTCGCAAGAAGCCAGCCATGTCGATCCTGGCGGAAGTGTGAGCACAGCTCGTCCGGCCAGCCCCACCCACCGCAGGCTTGAGGTCGGCATAGTCCAGGTAGCAGTTGCTGCGCTTCATGAACCACTCGATGACACAGATGGAGTAGACGTCCCAGAACACCGTGCCCGGCTCGGGGCACCTGTGGTCCTCGAAGAGCGCCCTCCTGTTTGTGGGGGGAGGGAGGAAAGGGGGCATGGACTCCGTCGGTATGAGGCAGTGGAGGATGGGACCACTGAACCGAGCGGTGCTCCACCTCAGGGCCTGGTCCGTCCTGAACCCTCCGACTTCCAATCCCCTCAACCCTCTCGCCCCTTTCTTCCTCATCCCTCCTCCACCCCCCTGCCTAATCACCCCCAACCCACCCCCCTCCCCTCACACCTCTTACCTCTGCGTCTTGGTCAGAGTGTTGAGGTGCCCGCGCATGGTCTTGTTGATGGTGTACTCCATGAGCTCCACCCGCTGCGGCGGCAGCGCGATGGGGTTGATGCCCAGCGCCGCGTAGTCCTTGAGCATGAAGTAGGCCCAGGCGTGCTTGTCCTCGTTCAGCTCCGGCACGACGTCCACGTACACCGCGCCGCGTGGCATGAAGAAGACGTTGCCCAGCGCAGCGCCGTGCATCTGCACCACGATGTCGCTGGCCGCGTACTTGGCCGCCTGGCTTCGCAGCGACTCGTCCTCCAGCGTCTCCACTACGATGCTGGCGGTGGGGAAGTCCCTCTGTGGGGGGGTGGGGTTGGGGAATCGGGGATTGGGGTGGAGGGAGTGGGGTGAGGGGTGGGCGTGAGGTGCGGTGCTCGTGGGTCGATGTGGTGAGCTCCGGTTCCCTCTTCAAACACACACACTTACGCCCACCCTCCATAATACACACGCGTGCACACACACACACAACCCACCGCCACCCTCGAGACCTGCAGGCGCTGCACCGTCTCCTCCATGTTGATGAAGGCACGGCCATGGCCCAGCGGGCGGTTGATGAAGACGATGCGGGGGTGGGTGTGGTTGCTCACGCGGTCCAGGGGCAGGCCCAGGCAGCGGTGCATCCTCTCCTTCCACCCGCGCACGATGCCGGGGAGGGGCGGCATGCGGTTGTACCGCGGCCGGCACCAGGGGAAGGCGCGGCAGGTGGACCCCACCCCCGCCACCGCGCGGCGCAGGACCACCGCGGTGTGATTAAGCCGCCCGTCCAGCAGACGCAGGAGCGGGTAGCGCGAGAAGCAGGGCCACAGCTCCTGCTGCGCCGCGGCCGGCATCGTGGTCTCCACCGTCGGCAGCTCGTTGTACAGCCACAGCTGCAGGTCCGTGCCTGATTTTGGGGGTTATTGTTTGGAGATCGGGAGGGTTGATGACTGAAAGGAGGGGAAAACTGGTGTTGTGGACAGTAGCACAGCCCCTTCTTGCCTTTTTCAATTCCAGTATCACCTCCCCCGCCCCGCCGCCGCCCCTCTCCCCCCCTCAAAACCCGAAAAAAGGAACCCTCTCTTCTCATTCGGCCCACCTGCCACTTGCTGGTGGGTGCAAAGGCCCATGTAGGTGCACATGGTGTTGTGCACCACGGGTCCCAGCTCGCCCAGCAGGTGTCCATAGTTGTTCCAGTACGCCAGGTTGATGAGCAGGCTCTGCTCCACCTCCATCTTTGGCACGGTGCCCCACTCGTCCCCGCCGTCCGCCGCCAGCAGGGCAGTCAGGTTGTCGGGGCTGGTCACCAGCAGGCGGGAGGTGAGGTTGGTGCCCAGACGGAAGGGGTCGCTGGCGATGTAGGTGAGCTGGACGTCGGGGATGGAGGCGCGGGCAGCCTCTGGCGCAAGGAAGGAGTGGGAAGTGAAGGGGTGGGCGCACGTGCGGGTGGATGAGTGGGCCTTCAGGGTCCCAGGGGGTGCAAGGCGGGGAGTGCAGTGCGGGGCACACCCGAGCATGCTGTGAACTCTCGGGGCAGCAGTCGTGCCGCAGCTGCCATCAACACAATGCTCCAGACACATGGCTGGGCAAGTCCAATTGCTGCGACCCCCACTTGGGAGGGAGGTTTACTCACAAGGCCAGGTCCCTCCATCCTCCCCACCCCCCGCCTCCCCCGAGACTCACCAGGGTCCGGCGAGATGTAGTGCATGCGGCCAGCCCATAGCACCAGGTCGTAAAAGGTGCAGACGCGGTGCTCGTACACCACCCCTATGCACTGTGTTCGTGGGAACGAGGGGCAGAGAGCCGGTGTGCAGTGTTACTCTGAGGTGAAATTTGTAGCTGTGACTTGTTAGAAGATGACTTCACACGACCAGAGGCATTCGACGAACGTAGTCGTGGTCGGCGAATCCATGTAGTGGTGGAGGGGATGGGCAGCAGATGCACAGGTCAAAAATCCCACAGCATCGCAGCATTGGCAGACAAGGTTGGCAACCCTGCACGCCTTACAAGGAAGTGGGACAAGCCCTCCGCGTTCCCAGGTGCCACTCTTTGGCACCACATCCCTCCCAACCTCCCTCCCCACCCCTGATCCCTCAGCCAGCACCTCGTGCGAGGAGTACTTGAGCTGCAGTGGCTCCTCTGGTTCCTCGGCGCCCTGGTATATCCGGTGGCCCATGAACTCCGTGCGGTTGTACGCCTGCTCGCGAGTCAGCCTGGCGGGATCCGATGGAATAGGAAGGGGCTCACCAGGCCGGACGAGGCTGAGGGGGTGGGCGCCACTCTCGAGAGAAACAACGCATGCTTGCCAGGCCAGTCCAGGCTCAGAACGATCGATTCCAATTCAGCAGCGCACGCCATGCGATGCATTCATCAGTTCTTAGCACCCTACATCATGACGCTCCTGTGCTGGCCACCCCACACCCCTCCTCCCTGACAGAATCAACCCCTCCCTCCTCACTTGTGCTCCAGGGCCTTGCGGTCGACCTTGGGGGGGTTGGGGTCGTAGCGCAGCTTGTCGGTGTACAGAGGCTTGTCGTAGAAGCGGGGCAGGCGCGGCGCGGGTGTGCGCTGCGCGTCGGGCGGGGGCGGGGAGGCCGCGGCGTTGGCGGCCAGGATGCTGGAGGCCTGGTTGGCAGCCGCTAGCTCTGCGAGCGCCTGCCCGGCCTCACTCTGGTGCCCCGCGGCCTGCTGCAGCCCGCCGCTGCCCAGCCCGGCGTTGGCCAGCGTCTGGGCGCCGCCCGTGACGGCGCCGGTGGTGATGGCGCCTCCCGCGGCGGCCGCGCCGGCCGCCAGCCCAGCGCCGGCCGCCGCGTGCGCCGCATTCTGCGCCGTCTCCAGCAGCGCGGCGGCGCTCGCGTCGTTGTCGGCGGCCGCCGTCTCGGCGGCCACCACGGCCGTGGCCACCGCGGCCGCCGTGGCCACAGACTCCTGGCGCTTGGCCACCTCCAGGTGCTCAGCGGCCGCGGCCGTGGTGGCCGCGGTGTGCGTCGCCGCTGCCTCCAGCAGCGTGGCAGCAGCGGGGGGTGGGGGGGCCAGGGGGGTGGCCAGGATGTCCTGGCAGCTGCCGAGGTGGAATGGGATCAGCTGCGCGGGGGAATGGGGGGGAGGGTTGCTCGGTGGAGACTGCCGGTGGAGACCCGGCGCGGGCCCGACATCCCTCGGCACTGACAGTGAGCATCTGGCGCAGGGAAGGGGAGCGCAATGCAGCCACGTAACATGCAGGACCTCCAATCCACTCACTAGGCAGCATAGGACCAGCGGTGCGAGGAGCCGCGGCGCCATGCCCGCTCCCGGCCTCGGGACGAGGGAGGGTACGACCTCCGACTCCGTCACTCCATGTCCCGGCGATCACCAGAACCAATGGTTTTCAACATGATGCGAGCAGGCAGTACGTTTACACCCTGTATTGGCTGGGCAATGAGGCGGTGATGCACGAGTACTGGCCGTAGCATTGCAAATCTTAACGACGCCGGCATTCGAAAACACTTGTTTGGGCGCGCTGCACCTCGAAACGGATGAGGACACAGTGCTGGGATGCGCATGGATGTACACATCCACATGTCAACAAAAATCCCTACCGATATCAGAAGTGGGCAGACGATGTCCCAAATATGTCATTGCACCTGGGACGGGGTCTGAGGCTTGACCGCGGAGCCTTGGTCAGACCTCCTTCGCATGGTGAAATGCAGCTCAGCATGCGCATGCATGGGATCCCCAAGCAGCTCCTGGGAGGTTGCAGGGCGTACCAGGGAAGTGTGAGGCCCATCCATGGGTCTGTGGCGCCCCTCGGCGCAGGTAGGCCGGGTCCTCCTCTACCAGGAGCGCCCAGGCCCCGGGCCCAACTTGGCCTCAGCGCCATAGCGGCACCCTCCCCCTCCCTTGCCGTCGAAGGAGGGAGTGACACCAAAGAGCACCTCCAGGGTCTGAGCGGAGAGCAGCAGGCTTCAGTTGCAGCGCCCTTGGGCACTTCCTTGGTTGTGGCGGGGCCTGGGAGCGGGAAGACCCGTGTGCTGATCTCGCGCATCCTGCACCTGGTCCAAGCCCATGACGTCGCCCCGCACTCCATCGCAGCCATCACTTTCACCAACAAGGTGGGGCGAGGGCGGAGCCTGTTGTGCGGCCAGAACTGTGCCTGGGCGATGTGGGGAATGCACCCCAGACTGGACCTTGTGCAAGTGACCACGCCTCGGGTCCCTGACTGACTGAGTGAACGCCATCCGATGACACGCTGCCTGGATGGCAGCGACGCTCCTCCACCCACAATCCCCTGGACCTTCTCCCCAGGCGGCACGGGAGATGCGGGAGCGACTGGAGCACGCCCTAGGCCCTGAGGCCGCCGCCCAGCCCTTCATAGGCACCTTCCACGGCTTGGGCCTGAGCATGCTGCGCCAGGCCAGCTCTCAGCTGCCCGCTGGCTGCCGGGTGCGCCCCGGCTTCTCGGTGGCCGACGGCGACGCCGCCACCGCGATGATGCAGCGATTGGTGAAGAGCACGGCGGGGATTGACATCAGGCAGTCGGGCGCGAGGACGTCGGCGGAGCAGAAGCGCACCGTCGCCAAGCAGGCCCGCATCATTCTGAGTGCCATCTCCAGGATGAAGAACTCCGTGCCTGGGTACGCTGCGCTGAAGGGGGAGCAGGCCATGCTGCGGGAGCTGATGCAGCGTCGGGGCACCGAGCTGACGATGCAGAACAAGATTATGGCGCGGGAGATGGGCTGGTGGTACGAAATGTGAGTCGGTGTCTGTTGAGAGTGGTTGAGGAGGTGGCTGCGGGGCTGAGGGGGCTAGGTTTTAAGAGAGGAGAGGCTGGAGGGAGTGGGATGTAGGTGGTGGAATGCTGCCATGTTGGGACTCATTCCTGAGAGCATCCTGACTCACCCAATGCGCTGTTGTCAAAAGCCAGGGCAGGACCAGATGGGCATCGATGCGGGTGTCTCGCTGCGCTGTGCCCTTGATTCAGGCGATGCACGGCTGTCCGCACCACAACCTCCCACCACTCCCTCCACTTCATGCGCAGGTATCGCGACAGCTTGGCACAGAGCAATGCCGCGGACTTTGACGACCTGCTGTCCCTGACGGTGACCCTCCTGCAGGAGAGCGAGGCCGCACGCTGTGCTCTCAGCCGCCGCTTCCACCACATACTCGTGGACGAGTTCCAGGTCCGGGGATGGGAGCTTGCCTTGGGGCGAAGTGAAGCAATGGGTCTGCCAGGTTTTCCATCGTGTTTGTCAAGGTTCTTCAGCACCACGCCACCGTGCCAAGCTCAACTTTCTGCACCTCTGTGTGCCAGGACACCAATGCCACTCAGTATGAGCTGGTCAAGCTTCTGGCGCCCGTGGACTCCCTGCAGAAGGTATGGCCTGGAGGGAATGGGTCTGGTGATTGTCGGTTGAGAGGGGACAGGAGGTGCCTGTGCACGGCAGCCAGCCTGGCCGCCGCTGCTCGATCAGCGGGCCGGTTGCGAGCCTGGTGCAGGGTCGCCGGTCGCTGTTCCTCGTGGGCGACCCAGACCAGGCCATCTATGGGTGGCGGGGCGCCATCCCGGAGCAGCTGGGAGAGCGCCTGAGAACAGACTACCCCGATCTGAAGGTTTGTTGTTTCTCTGCCATGGGCAGCCGCTCGCATGCCCGCCTGTGCTGGCAGGGAATGGGGTCGTGGTATGCGATTGACAATAGCAAGGCTGTCTGCGATCAGGCATGCTCACCCCTGCACCCCATCTAGTATATCCCTTTTCCCCCCTGACCCCCCAATCAATCAACCCACTGCAGGTCCTGACCCTGCGCGACAACTACCGCAGCTCCAGCACGATCCTGGCGGCCGCCCGGGCGGTGCTGGGTCCCCAGTCCAGGCGCCTGCGGCCCATGCTACCCCACGGCCCCGCCCTGCGCCTGCACAGCGTCCTCGGCCCGACCGAGGAGGGCGAGCTGGTGGCGCGGCAGATCCGGCGCCTGCAGGCGCGACACGGCGTGCCGCTGTCGGAGGTGGCGGTGCTGGTCCGCACCCACGCCCAGACGCGGGCCATTGAGGAGGCCCTGGTGAGTTCTGAGGGGAAAGGCACATGCCCTGGGAGTATTTGTTCCTTATTTCTACTTGGGGGGAAAGATGGATTGTGTGGGAATGGATGGGAGGATTGAGTGTGCGTGAGATCACAGGATGCCCAGCAGCCTTGAGGTGCCCTGTCGCATGCTCATGCAACCCTTGCCGCCCCTTCAAACGGCACAGGAACCTCCTCAATCTCCCCCTTCAACACCCACATGCAACCGCCCGTTGCCTACCTCAGGTCCGGCACCGCATCCGCTACATCGTCCTGGGAGGACGCACCTTCTGGCAGCGCAAGGAGGTGCAGGACGTGCTGGCGTACCTGCGCCTGGCGCTGGCGCCGTGGGACGGCGTGGCCCTGCGCCGCATCATCAACGTGCCCAAGCGCGGGCTGGGCCCCGCGACCCTGGCCAAGCTGGAGGCCGCCGGTGAGGGCAGCATCGCGCGGGCCCTCTTTCCCCCCGCCTGGCCCTTGGAGGGGGGCGTGGAGGGCACCGTGGCGCCGACGCTGCCGCTGCTGGATCGCGGCGCGCTGGGCCTGAGCGCCGCCACCGCGAAGAAGGTCGAGGCCTTCCGCGCGCTGGCGCTGGGTCTGGCGGCCGCGCTGCGCTCCATGCCGCTGCACGACGCGCTGGCGCACATAGTGGAAGCCACGGGGTACCTGGACGGCGCGAAGGACGCGGCGGCAGAGGACAACGACGAGGCGGTCGCTGATTCGAAGGACGGCAGAGCGGTCGGTGCCACGGCGGAGGACCTGCCCTCCGCGAGCTCTACAGGAGAAGCAAAGGAGGAGGAGACGGCCGTGACCCTGCGCCGCCGGCTGGGCCAGCTGGTGGAGGTGGCCCGCCTGGCGGGCGAGGCCGGGGCCCCAGGCCTGCCCGTCGCCGACCTGGGGCTGGAGGTGGAGAGCGGGCGGGACGAGCGCCTGGAGGGCGTCCGCGCCTTCCTGGACAGCTGCGCGCTGGACGCCGCCCCCGACGGGGGCGAGGCCGCGGCGCGGAGGGACAGTGTGCGTGTGAGCACCATGCACGCCGCCAAGGGCCTCGAGTACGCCGCCGTGTTTGTCCCCGGGTGTGTGGAGGGCCAGATCCCCTCCCCGCCGCGGGAGAACGATGGCGGGGCGGCGCTGCGGGAGGAGCGCCGCCTCATGTACGTGTCCCTGACCAGGGCGAAGCAGCACCTGACCCTGCTGTGCCCCAGCAGCGACCCCAGGGTCTCCAGGCACGTCGGTTGGGGCATCGCGATGATGGGATGCGGGGGGGTGGAGGATCGATTCCAAAAGAGGTTGTGACGCGCATTTTTGAAGATGGCAAGCGCGAGGAGGGCGGGTGATTTGAAGCTTAGCACGCTGCTGTCCCCCCTCGCCCTGGCGCCTGATGTTGGCAACTCCACCCCTGAACCCCCGTCGCACTCCCACCAGGTCCTTCCTGCTGCCGTCTCGCTTCATCAAGGAGCTGGAGGACAGCGGGTGCGTCCTGGAACGGACGGAGCACGAGGACTCGGAGCGGAGGGCGCCCCACCGCAGCCACAGGGCCGCGGCACGCTACCAGCGCAGCCGCCGGCTGAACAGACCCGAGGAGTAGGCGGCGGCGCTGCACAACGTCGCGGCATCAAAGGCACCGCCAGCGTGCATCGTGGCCTGTCGCACCTTGAATGTACCATTGTCCTGATGCCGTCTGGCTCCTCCCTTGACCCTGACTGGGACGCTTCTTCGCCACTCCAATAAGTCCCAATGACTCCACTCTAACCCTGCACCTCAGCACCGTTTCAAGGTGCTGCTCATCTGGAAAGACTCGCTCTGTGCTTGCAGCATCTGCATGGTCTGGGTCATGGTCAAATGGCTGTGCAAGCACGTGCCTGCCCTGCGCTGGCGCACCCCCGTCCTGCTGGTTCGGCGGGCAGCGCCCCCGTCGATCACCGATTTCGGGGAGCGGCACCGGGCACCCAGCCTACATCGGTGTCGGACAGGGCGTCAGGCCCCAAACCCAACACTCCAGAGGACATGCTTGTCTGCGTGCCGGGTCTACACCCCACATCTGTGCTGTGTGTCCCGTCACCCCACCCTCAAACCCCCGCACCTCGGCGGTGCTCCGCCCACTTCCCGCAGCTCTCGGCTGCAGCACCCCCCGCCTCTCGGACCAGGCTCGCCGCTCGCCGCTCGATTTACGGTACCATAACCGCATCCATGTCCCGCAGATCCTCCTCCCCCAGCGTCCTGGTGGCCGACATCGGCGGCACCAACGCCCGCTTCCAGGTGTGGCAGCTCGACGATGTCCTGCGCCCCAGCCGCCTGATCCTGGAGAAGGTGGGCGCTGTGTGTTTTGTGTTGAGGAGGTGTCGAGTGGGTGATGCACGGGATTCGGAACCCCCCCAAGAGACCCTGCATGGTGCATCGGGAGGGCTTGGGGCTGATCCTGGCTGCCCCCCCCTCCTGCACTTGAGTTAGGGAGGGGGGGGCACTGAGGGGTCCGTCGTACCCGAGTTGCACCACTGGCCGCAAGGATATCACTCAGTTGGATGATCTTGAATCACTGCATGCACGGTGTCGTGCCCCAAGTTCTTGGTGACGTGTGTATCCAGCATGTTGCCACCCCGAGCCATGCAGCCTGGCCCAACATTCACCCCCCCCCCCCCCCAAAAAAAAAGCCAACAACCCTCCCCTCTCAAACCAGTTCCTGCCCACCAAGGACTACCCTACCTTTGACGACGCGCTGTCCGCCTTCCTGGCCGACCCGGCGCTGGCCGGGCACGCCCCCCAGTCCGCGGCCTTTGCCTGCGCGGGCCCGGTCGCGCGCGGCGCCTGCACCATGACCAACCTGGGCTGGACCATCGACGAGGCGGAGGTGGCGGCCCGGCACGGCCTGCGCGCCACCGTGCTGAACGACTTAGAGGCGGTGGGCTACGGCGTGCCCGTCCTGCCCGAGTCGGCGCTGCTGACGCTGCACCATGCCCCCGTCCAGGACCGCGCGCCCAAGGCGGTGCTGGGCCCCGGCACGGGGCTGGGTGAGGCCCAGCTGTTCTGGGACGAGGCGGTGGGCAACTACCGCGTGTGCGCCAGCGAGGGGTCGCACGCCACCTTCGCGCCGCGCGGCTGGAAGCAGCGCGCGCTGCAGGCCGCGGTCCAGGCCGAGCGGGGGCACTGCTCCGTGGAGCGCGTGGGCTGTGGCGACGGACTGCGTCGCATCTACGACTTCCTCGGCAGCGACGAGCCCAGCCAGTACCCCGGCCGCGACCTGGGCGCCAAGCGCGACCCCGCCGCCATCTCCGCCGCCGCGCTGGACGGCTCCGACCCGCGCGCGGCCGAGGCGCTGGACATCTTCCTCAGCATCGTGGGGGCCGAGGCGGGGCACATGGCCCTCCGCGGCCTCACCACCGGCGGCGTCTACATCTGCGGCGGCATCTTCCCCAAGGTCCTGGACCGCGTGCGCGCAGGGGGGGTGGCCGAGGCCTTCCTCTGGCGCGACTCGCGCTTCCATGACAAGGTGCTCAAGCACATCCCGCTCTTCGTCGTGCTGGAGGAGAAGGTGGGCCTGCTGGGCACGCGTGAGCAGGCCATCCGCCTGCTGCACCAGCAGGCCGAGGACGTGTCCATCGCCACCTAGGGGCGTGGGCTGGCTGGATTGGACGGGGGGTGGCGGCAGGGGAGGGTGCGCAGCGCGACAGGGGGACCCCTGAGATTCGAGGCAGGTGCGAGCCTGCCTGCGCCCCGGCATGTGCGCCCGAGTCTTTGACCCCATCCCGCAGAGCCATGCCCAGTTGAGCCCATGGCCTGCCACCCCAGTAACGGCACCGTGTGCCCACCGAATGCGACCTGGAAACTTCATGCGTGCTCTTTGCAAGCGACGAGTGAGGGGGCCCAGTTTCATGGGGGGGTGCAGGCAGGGCAGGGAGGGGGGTGATGCCTAGGCAGCAAGCTGTTCTGGCTGGCGACCCATTGGGAGGGTGCGCGACTCGGGCCTCCCCTGCGCCTGCTCCCAAGGGCAAGGGCCATGCACGCCGTCAGTGGGGCTTGGGCACGTAGCCGTCCACCGCAAAGTTCCGGGTGGAGCTGGGGATGCGGACCCGCAACCCGTCCAGCTCTGGGGTGGTGATGATCTGGCAGCCCAGGCGCGAGCTGCACAGAGGGGAGGGTGGCAGGGCCTGCCCCATGTTACAGGCATGAGACATTGGAACGTCATCAGCCGCACACAGCTGTCTCCAGCCGACCCACTGCCCTGAGACGGAATGCACCTTGAAGTGGTCCGCAGGGCCCCAATCTCCTGCTCACTCGCGAAAATCCAACCCCCTTCTCCACCATGTCACGCACCACCAGCCCAACCATACGTTTCAGTGAGCCCAAAGGCCAGGTCCAGCATGTCGTTCTCGTCGTCCGTCGCCTCTGGCAGGCTGTCAAACTGTTCTTGGGACTCCACGATTACGTGGCATGTGGAGCATGCCAGGGAGCCCTCGCATGCACCTGGGATGTAGAGGGAAGGGGGTTGAGGGTTCCAGCACGTCACAAGTGTCCTGGAATAGGATGTGTACCCTCCTCGACGCGGGCAGTGGCAAGGGTCCCTGTGCCAAGCGCTCGCCCTACAGTGCACATCCAGGCTCACATTCTAGGTCCACGTCGTTGTCGTGCGCAATCTCCATGAGGGACTTGCCCAGAGGTGCCTGAATGGTCACCTCAGACCCATCCTTCTCGTCAGCAAAGGTGACTGAGACCCTGCTCAATGGGAGGTGGAGGCAGGTGATCCGACGACCCGCCTATACACTCCCTGCCGCATTGACTGATCCTAGTGTCGCCGATCCATATGCCGGCTCACTTGTCGTCGCTGCACCGTGGCCGAGACGAGGAAAAGGGTCGCAGGGCCAAACTACCGGGCGGAGTCAGCGTGGAGGCCACGGCATCGGCACAGCTCCTTTCACTGTGGCGTACAGTGGCAGCAAAGGGTCCCGTGCGGCAGCTTGCCAGCAACGCAGGCAGGAGTTTGCGGCATGCTGACAGGGATGCCATGGGCGAAAGCCTGCAAGCTGGAGTCCCTGGGCCTCCCGATCGTTATGGATATTGAGGTTCACAGCATGAAGGAACAAAGCAGGCACAAAGTGTCGCATCTTGCTTGCACGGGGTGAGCTGGTGAATGTATGGTGTGCGCGCCCTGGCAGAGCAAAAACCTTTACGTGTTGATGATGGGTCCCTGTCCCCTTGGGCGCTAGAGACACGGCAAACACATCCAGAGTCGGACTCGAGATGCGGAATGATCGCACACACACATCATCGAGGGGCATCCGGTATCAGTGCTGCGACGACTGCGTGTCGCAATTTGCATGAAAGCTGACGAACTCCGAGATGCCCCAACCCAGCCGTCCGGGTCGCCGTCGCCCGCAGCTGGCACGCATCTCGAGGCAAGAGTTCGTTCAAGATCAATCTGCTCGAGCGAAATATAATGCTCGCCAATGTGCCTGGGCCGGCATAATCTCATCTCCCTGCCTCTGCTTGCTAAGTTTGGCACGGACACCTCACCACCATGGCGCGCGCACTAATGCTTGTGCTGGTGGCCCTTTGCGCTACCAGCTTTGTCACCGCAGACAAGCTCCCACTCACCGCTGAGTCCATCGGCGAGGGTAAGCGGCCATGATTATGCCTTTGGATTCGGGATTGCCGCGATGCTCGAGCAGGGGAAACCCTGGTGCGACACCTGATTCACCTTCCCACCATGTGCCCCCTGCAGTGTTCAAAGGGTTCACCAGCGAGCTCGAGACGGCCATCGCCAGCCAGCAGCAGACCCGCGGCCGCAGCCTGCTGAGCTTCACTGACGTGAGTGTTGGTTGTTGATGTGTTCTTCGAAATGCACCATCGCGGCTCCACCGATCTTGCCCTGTGCTCATGACTACATTGTCCTCCCCCTTCCCTGCAGGACTTCCATGGTTTTTTCGAGAACTTCTTTGGCCAGAACTGGACCGAGCACGTGCCTGAGGCATGGAAGCACAAGGACTTCAGCTGGGAGAAGCTGCTGCCCTTCGACCTGAAGAGCAGCCTGGGCGACTTCCTGAACAGGACCGACCTCGATGAGCTTACCAGGCCTCACACCATCCCTGAGCTGCACGACCTGTTCGAGTCCACACTCGCCAAGTTCTGCAGGAACTTCACGTGAGTTATACACGGGGAGGTGTCTTGACAAGGATGATCTGCCAAACCGTGCTCCTGCCATACTTCACTCAGTTCATGTTCAAACCCTTCCCTCCACAACCTCCCCCATACAGCTTCACCATCTCCGAGAAGGTGGACCCCTTCTGCGCCGGGCCCACGGTCTCCCTGACCTACAACCCCAAGGTCTGCATCATCGACGAG